CCCGCCTGCGGAAGCCCAAACCGGGCAGCGAGAGGAAGCCGATCACCCTGAGGCAGCGCTGGATCCTGCGGGCGCTGGAGTTCCTGAGGCCGCACATCGTCCACCGCCGACACGACAACACTGTACGCACAAACACACAACACTGCAGACACAACAACACTGCTCAAACACACAACACTGCTCAAACACACAACACTGCTCAAACACACAACACTGCAGACACGACAACACTGCAGACACAACAACACAGTACACACAACACTGCAGACACGACAACACTGTACGCACAAACACACAACACTGCTCAAACACACACAACACTGTACGCACAAACACACAACACTGCAGACACAACAACACTGCTCAAACACACAACACTGCAGACACAACAACACTGCTCAAACACACAACACTGCAGACACAACAACACTGCTCAAACACACAACACTGCAGACACGACAACACTGCAGACACAACAACACTGTACACACAACACTGCAGACACGACAACACTGTACGCACAAACACACAACACTGCAGACACAACAACACTGCTCAAACACAACAACACTGCTCAAACACACAACACTGCAGACACAACAACACTGCTCAAACACACAACACTGCAGACACAACACTGCAGACACGACAACACTGCAGACACAACAACACTGCTCAAACACACAACACTGCAGACACAACAACACTGTACACAACACTGCAGACACAACAACACTGCTCAAACACACAACACTGCAGACACAACAACACTGCTCAAACACACAACACTGCAGACACAACAACACTGCTCAAACACACAACACTGCAGACACGACAACACTGCTCAAACACACAACACTGCAGACACGACAACACTGCAGACACAACAACACTGCTCAAACACACAACACTGCAGACACGACAACACTGCAGACACAACAACACTGCTCAAACACACAACACTGCAGACACAACAACACTGTACACAACACTGCAGACACAACAACACTGCTCAAACACACAACACTGCAGACACAACAACACTGCTCAAACACACAACACTGCAGACACAACAACACTGCTCAAACACACAACACTGCAGACACGACAACACTGCAGACACAACAACACTGCTCAAACACACAACACTGCAGACACAACAACACTGTACACAACACTGCAGACACAACAACACTGCAGACACAACAACACTGTACACAACACTGCAGACACAACAACACTGCAGACACGACAACACTGCTCAAACACACAACACTGCAGACACAACAACACTGCTCAAACACACAACACTGCAGACACAACAACACTGTACACAACACTGCAGACACAACAACACTGCAGACACGACAACACTGCTCAAACACACAACACTGCAGACACACAACACTGCAGACACAACAACACTGCTCAAACACACAACACTGCAGACACAACAACACTGTACACAACACTGCAGACACAACAACACTGTACACACACTGCAGACACAACAACACTGCTCAAACACACAACACTGCAGACACAACAACACTGTACACAACACTGCAGACACAACAACACTGTACACACACTGCAGACACAACAACACTGCTCAAACACACAACACTGCAGACACGACAACACTGCAGACACAACAACACTGCTCAAACACACAACACTGCAGACACGACAACACTGCAGACACAACAACACTGCTCAAACACACAACACTGCAGACACAACAACACTGTACACAACACTGCAGACACAACAACACTGCTCAAACACACAACACTGCAGACACAACAACACTGCTCAAACACACAACACTGCAGACACAACAACACTGCTCAAACACACAACACTGCAGACACGACAACACTGCAGACACAACAACACTGCTCAAACACACAACACTGCAGACACAACAACACTGTACACAACACTGCAGACACAACAACACTGCAGACACGACAACACTGCTCAAACACACAACACTGCAGACACACAACACTGCAGACACAACAACACTGCTCAAACACACAACACTGCAGACACAACAACACTGTACACAACACTGCAGACACAACAACACTGCAGACACGACAACACTGCTCAAACACACAACACTGCAGACACAACAACACTGTACACAACACTGCAGACACAACAACACTGTACACACACTGCAGACACAACAACACTGCTCAAACACACAACACTGCAGACACAACAACACTGTACACAACACTGCAGACACAACAACACTGTACACACACTGCAGACACAACAACACTGCTCAAACACACAACACTGCAGACACGACAACACTGCAGACACAACAACACTGTACACACAACACTGCTCAAACACACAACACTGCAGACACAACAACACTGTACACAACACTGCAGACACAACAACACTGTACACACACTGCAGACACAACAACACTGCTCAAACACACACCACTGCAGACACAACAACACTGCTCAAACACACACCACTGCAGACACGACAACACTGTACACTGTAGTTTCTGCAGTATTGTCTGTTGTCGTCTGTTGTTGTCTGTTGTTGCCATCTGTTGCAGTTGTCTGTTGTTGTCATCTGTTTTCTGTTGTCGTCTGTTGCTGTAGTCTGTTGTCGTCTGTTGCTGTAGTCTGTTGTTGTCTGTTGTCGTCTGTTGCTGTAGTCTGTTGTTGTCTGTTGTCGTCTGTTGCTGTAGTCTGTTGTCGTCTGTTGTTGTCGTCTGTTGCTGTAGTCTGTTGTCGTCTGTTGCTGTAGTCTGTTGTCGTCTGTTGCTGTAGTCTGTTGTTGTCTGTTGTCGTCTGTTGCTGTAGTCTGTTGTTGTCTGTTGGCATCTGTTGCTGTAGTCTGTTGCTGTAGTCTGTTGTTGTCGTCTGTTGTTGTCGTCTGTTGCTGTAGTCTGTTGTTGTCGTCTGTTGTTGTCGTCTGTTGCTGTAGTCTGTTGTCGTCTGTTGTCGTCTGTTGTCGTCTGTTGCTGTAGTCTGTTGTCGTCTGTTGTTGTCGTCTGTTGCTGTAGTCTGTTGCTGTAGTCTGTTGTCGTCTGTTGCTGTAGTCTGTTGTCGTCTGTTGCTGTAGTCTGTTGTCGACTGTTGCTGTAGTTGTTGTCCGTTGTCGACTGTTGCTGTAGTCTGTTGTTGTCTGTTGTCGTCTGTTGCTGTAGTCTGTTGTTGTCTGTTGTCGTCTGTTGCTGTAGTCTGTTGCTGTAGTCTGTTGTCGTCTGTTGCTGTAGTCTGTTGTCGTCTGTTGCTGTAGTCTGTTGCTGTTGTCTGTTGGCGTCTGTTGTTGTCGTCTGTTGCTGTAGTCTGTTGTCGTCTGTTGCTGTAGTCTGTTGTTGTCGTCTGTTGCTGTAGTCTGTTGTTGTCGTCTGTTGCTGTAGTCTGTTGTCGTCTGTTGCTGTAGTCTGTTGTCGTCTGTTGCTGTAGTCTGTTGTTGTCGTCTGTTGCTGTAGTCTGTTGTTGTCGTCTGTTGCTGTAGTCTGTTGTCGTCTGTTGCTGTAGTCTGTTGTCGTCTGTTGCTGCAGTCTGTTGGCGTCTGTTGTTGTCGTCTGTTGCTGTAGTCCGTTGTTGTCGTCTGTTGCTGTAGTCTGTTGTTGTCGTCTGTTGTTGTAGTCTGTTGTCGTCTGTTGCTGTAGTCTGTTGTCGTCTGTTGCTGTAGTCTGTTGCCGCCTGTTTCTGTCGTCTGTTTCTGTAGTCTGTTGCTGTAGTCCGTTGTCGACTGTTGCTGTAGTCTGTTGTCGTCAGTTGTCTGTTGTCGTCTGTTTCTGTAGTCTGTTGCTATAGTTTGTTGTTGTAGTCTGTTGTCGTCTGTTGCTGCAGTCTGTTGTTGTCTGTTGCTATAGTTTGTTGTTCTAGTCTGTTGTCTGTTGTTGTTGTCTGTTGCTGTAGTCTGTTGTCGTCTGTGCAGTTGTCTGTTTTTGTAGTCTGTTGTTGTAGTCTGTTGTCATCTGTTGCTGCAGTCTGTTGTTGTCTGTTTCTGTAGTCTGTTGTTGTCTGTTGCTGTAGTCTGTTGTTTTAATCTGTTGTCTGTTGCTGTAATCTGTTGTTGTAATCTGTAGTCGTCTGTTGCTGTAGTCTGTTGTTGTAATCTGTTGTCTGTTGCTGTAGTCTGTTGTTGTCTGTTGTTGTAGTCTGTTGTCTGTTGTTGTAATCTGTAGTCGTCTGTTGCTGTAGTCTGTTGTCTGTTGTTGTAGTCTGTTGTCTGTTGTTGTAATCTGTAGTCGTCTGTTGCTGTAGTCTGTTGTCTGTTGTTGTAGTCTGTTGTCTGTTGTTGTCGTCTGTTGTCTGTTGTTGTAGTCTGTTGTCTGTTGCAGTAGTTGTTCATTGCTGCAGTAACGTGTGAAGGCTGATCTTTCTCTGTTTTTTCTGTAGTCATCTGATAAGGCGGAGGACACAGAGCCGGAGCCAGAGCCAGAGCCGGATGAGCTGCAGGAGGATCCAGAGCGAGAGATGGACAGCTTCGACTCCATCAGTGTGTGTTTGTCTCCGATGCCCAGCACTCCAGACACGGGTCTGCCGGAGGAGTGTGTGTCGCCCCGCAGCTCCTCCAGCAAGCGGCACCGCAGCTCTGAGTCCGACATAGAGCTGCAGAAGCTGGAGGTGCTGAAGCAGATGTCCGCTAAAGTGCTGGACAATCCTCCGTCTGACGCCGCTGCCGTGTTCGCCAGCCAGGTGGCGATGGAATACCGGCTGCTGAGTGACCCCGCAGTGCAGATGCGCGTACGCCGACAGATCATGAGCGTGCTTTACGAAGCACAGGACGCTGAAAAACGCCAGCGGCAGAACAAGAGGATGGAGAGCCGAGGTCTGAAGACCGAGCAGGACGCCTGGAGCAACAACATTATATAGAGTACATATAGTGTCCTCATCCTGGATCAACACTGATGTATAGCTAATATATAGTGTCAGTCAGCCTTGATCAACACTGACATATAGACGATATATAGTGTCCTCATCCTAGATCAACACCTGATATATAGACAGTATATACTGTCAGTCAGCTTTGATCAACACTGACATATAGACAGTATATAGTGTCAGTCAGGCTGGATCAACACTGATATATAGTGTCAGTTAACCTGGCTTGGCACTGACATGTGGACAGTATATAGTGTCAGTCAGACATCCTCCTTCAGATGCTCTAGTGTCCTTTTCTACGCTGTACTGAATATTTTTCTTAGTGGAAGTTTTGAGTAAGTCTGTGTGAGGAAATAAACTGGTTTCGTCTTTCAGAGCTGTGTGCTTAATGATTTAGTCTTGAGCTGTTATTCGATATTAAAACATGTCAAATACTCATTATTCATTGGTGTACTTCGCTGTGGTCCTCAAGCAGCAGGTTTTACTCGTTAGTTGGAACCGTTTACATGGTAAACAGACTTTATTAACTCTGTTTATATATTTTTCAGATTAAGTGTCAGATCATGTTTACATTAGTCTGCTACTGAGGGAGCGTTTTACTCGTGTTTGAACGCTGTAAACTGGTGAACTCCTTCACATCAAACAGACTGCGCGTGTGTGTGTGTAAGAGAGAGAGAGAGTGTGTGTGAGAGAGAGACACAGAGACAGACGCGCACACACACAGAGCTAGAGAGACAGACAACACACACACACACACACACACACACACACACGGAGAGGCAGGCTCTCAGACGCGCGTCACCGACTCCTCCGCCGTGCTCGGGCCCGTCTTTACTGTCTCCGACCGCGGCTTTCAAAGGAACCGAAGCGGGGATTAACGAGCGACTGGCGGGAGAAAACCGGGAATAACGCGCGACTCCAGTGCGACATTGTAGTCATTCAGAGGTAACGTGTGTTCGCTTATTGTGTGTGTGTGTGTGTGTGTGTGCGTGTTGATTTACAGGCGGCTTGTAGAGCTGGTCTCCCCGCATTAGTGCAGCTCCACACGGTTAGCTCTGCTCTGCTCTACGGTGTTGTGTCGCGCTGTTCTCCTGCAGAATCCGCCGTTTGCGGTGATTTTAATGCGGTGATGAACGCGCAGGTGCTCGGGCATCTCCGGGCTGTAACGGGACTCGCGGACACTGCTCGTTATAGAGAACACATGATGATATTTGACAGTAGAGTTTCAGCACAGGCACACGATGAACCTCGTGAAGGCTGAAATGGCGTGTATAATGTAATGTCTGGAGGGTTTGTGTCCTGGATTGACTGAGCTGGAGAAATAACAGATGATGATGATGATGATGATGATGACGCTCTTAAAGGGACAGCTCGCCTGTAAATGGAGATTCTGTCATTTTGTGGCCCTCATGGCGACAGCAGCGGAAGCTGTACAGAGCTGCCGTGAACAGAACTGAGCTGAGCAGACATTCAGTGTTATCATATATACAGACACACCGAGCGACCGGAACCGCCTGATTTTTAGCCTGAGCAGTGTTGGGTGTTCGGTCAGTGACGTCAGAGACTCCTCTCACCGCCGCAGGGTCACGTGTGTGTGTGTGTGTGTGTGTGAGAAATAAACCCATAGAATAAACAGCATCCATTAGAACTGCAGCAGTAAATAAATGAAGCGGTTTATAATATTGAGATGTACAGAAGTGGACTTCAGCTGTCGGATCTCCTCATTCTCATTAAAGCTATTATCGAGAGAAGAGCAGCGAATGAATCTCATTTAGAAACTGAAGATGTCACTTTATAAACGCAGATCTGTGATGAACGCGTCGGTCTGCTTTATCTGTTCATGCTCATTTAAGACAGAGTGAGTTCTTTAAAATAAAGCTTTATCATTAATATTAGAATTGTGTATTAACTGCTTAAACACACACCACAGCCCAAAGTGTCCACATTCACTCCTGGAGTATTTCTACACTACACACATGTAGTTCCTCAGTCACAAACCGTTTCAGGATGAAAACACATAAAGAGACAATAACCTGACGGACGTAACCCCGCTGTAGACTGACGTAACCCCGCTGTAGACTGATGTAACCCCGCTGTAGACTGATGTAACCCCGCTGTAGACTGACGTAACCCCGCTGTAGACTGATGTAACCCCGTTGTAGACTGATGTAACCCCGCTGTAGACTGACGTAACACCGCTGTAGACTGACATAACACCGCTGTAGACTGACGGACGTAACCCCGTTGTAGACTGACGGACGTAACACCTCTGTAGACTGACGTAACACCGCTGTAGACTGACGTAACCCCGCTGTAGACTGACAGACGTAACCCCGCTGTAGACTGACAGACGTAACCCCGCTGTAGACTGACGGACGTAACCCCGCTGTAGACTGACGTAACCCCGCTGTAGACTGACAGACGTAACACCTCTGTAGACTGACGTAACCCCGCTGTAGACTGACAGACGTAACCCCGTTGTAGACTGACGGACGTAACACCTCTGTAGACTGACGTAACCCCGCTGTAGACTGACGTAACCCCGCTGTAGACTGACAGACGTAACCCCGTTGTAGACTGACGGACGTAACACCTCTGTAGACTGACGTAACACCGCTGTAGACTGACGTAACCCCGCTGTAGACTGACAGACGTAACCCCGCTGTAGACTGACGGACGTAACCCCGCTGTAGACTGACGTAACCCCGCTGTAGACTGACGTAACCCCGCTGTAGACTGACGTAACCCCGCTGTAGACTGACGTAACCCCGCTGTAGACTGACGTAACCCCGCTGTAGACTGACAGACGTAACCCCGCTGTAGACTGACGGACGTAACCCCGCTGTAGACTGACGTAACCCCGCTGTAGACTGACGTAACCCCGCTGTAGACGGACGTAACACCGCTGTAGACTGATGTAACCCCGCTGTAGACTGACGTAACCCCGCTGTAGACTGACGTAACCCCGCTGTAGACTGACGTAACCCCGCTGTAGACTGACGTAACCCCGCTGTAGACTGACGGACGTAACCCCGCTGTAGACTGACGTAACCCCGCTGTAGACTGACGTAACCCCGCTGTAGACTGACGGACGTAACACCGCTGTAGACTGATGTAACCCCGCTGTAGACTGACGTAACCCCGCTGTAGACTGACGTAACACCGCTGTAGACTGACAGACGTAACCCCGCTGTAGACTGACGTAACCCCGCTGTAGACTGACGTAACCCCGCTGTAGACTGACGTAACCCCGCTGTAGACTGACGGACGTAACACCGCTGTAGACTGATGTAACCCCGCTGTAGACTGACGGACGTAACACCGCTGTAGACTGACGTAACCCCGCTGTAGACTGACGTAACCCCGCTGTAGACTGATGTAACCCCGCTGTAGACTGACGTAACACCGCTGTAGACTGACGTAACCCCGCTGTAGACTGACAGACGTAACACCGCTGTAGACTGACGTAACCCCGCTGTAGACTGACGTAACCCCGCTGTAGACTGACAGACGTAACCCCGCTGTAGACTGACGTAACCCCGCTGTAGACTGACGTAACCCCGCTGTAGACTGACGGACGTAACACCGCTGTAGACTGACGTAACCCCGCTGTAGACTGACGTAACCCCGCTGTAGACTGACGTAACACCGCTGTAGACTGACGTAACCCCGCTGTAGACTGACGTAACCCCGCTGTAGACTGACGTAACACCGCTGTAGACTGATGTAACCCCGCTGTAGACTGACAGACGTAACACCGCTGTAGACTGACGTAACCCCGCTGTAGACTGACAGACGTAACCCCGCTGTAGACTGACGTAACCCCGCTGTAGACTGACGGACGTAACACCGCTGTAGACTGACGTAACACCGCTGTAGACTGACGTAACCCCGCTGTAGACTGACAGACGTAACACCGCTGTAGACTGACGTAACCCCGCTGTAGACTGACGGACGTAACACCGCTGTAGACTGACGTAACCCCGCTGTAGACTGACGTAACCCCGCTGTAGACTGACGTAACACCGCTGTAGACTGACGTAACCCCGCTGTAGACTGACAGACGTAACACCGCTGTAGACTGACGTAACCCCGCTGTAGACTGACGGACGTAACACCGCTGTAGACTGATGTAACCCCGCTGTAGACTGACGTAACCCCGCTGTAGACTGACGGACGTAACCCCGCTGTAGACTGACGTAACCCCGCTGTAGACTGACGTAACCCCGCTGTAGACTGACGTAACCCCGCTGTAGACTTGCTAGATTTGCCAGCAGGTTGTTCATCTGGTCCTGTAATAAGCTGCTGTTCCTCCACGTGTGACGGCCCTGCAGTGTGTTTCTACACAGAGGATCGTCTGTACAGCCGGAGCTGAAAGAGTGTTCGGCTGCAGATCTCTGCTGTTCCTCCAGTGTTCAGCTGATCTGCAAACACAACTCATTCTGAAGTGTGGACAGCTGATTAATTAGAGAAAGAAGCATGATCTGCTCCTGCTAGCGTGTGCTGAGCCTAGCTGTTGACCTCTGACCCCAGAGTTACTGTCGTTAGCTGATCACAGTAAAGATGTGTAGGGACGGCTCACTTTACATCATAGTAAACCACTCCAGTGGAGCCTGTTTACAGCCCTGACCTGAGACCAGCCGGAGCTGTGTGTGTTTTTATTAAACATGAACGCACACAGACTCACGGGGACTTGTCTCCATAAGGTCCTCAACCGAGGTCAACATAAATCAGACAGAGTGAAGTGTTGTGAAGATGCAGAGCGGCAGACTGTTTCCTCTGAGGCTGGGTTAGGGCAAGAGTTGGGAAGCAGTGTGCACACTAGAAACATCATTATGTGTGTGT